TTCACCTGTCCAAAGTTTAGCTCATGAGCTCTGTGCAGATATTTCCTGCTTGCCTCCATGTACTTTGCCCTCATTCCTTCCGATCTCCTCCAGTTCAGCAAGTCGCATATGTTCTTTGTCCAAACTGTGCATTTCCTTTTCTTCGCCAGATACCATTACCTCTGTGTACACCCTGTCATTTTTGCCTGATCTCCTTTTCTTCCTTTTTTGGTTTCCTGAATAACCTCTCTGAACAGCAAGTCTGGTCATGTGTCTTTCCTGTTTTGGTGGCTCCACGGCCCTCAGGACCAAGCCCAGATGCCTCTGAGTGACTTCCAGGGCTCCTGGTGATCTGGCCTCGTTTTCTTTCTCCAGCTTTATTCCCTCACTACCCAGCTGAATCTCAAATGACTTTTCATGCTCAGAATGCACCTCTGCCTCTACACATGCTGTTTTCTTCCTCAAACCCTCTAGTCTGAGCTCTGTGCCCCTACTGTGCGATTCCCCGTATCTGCACACGGTCAGTCAGAGCTCTGTGCCCTACTGAGTGATTCTCCATGTCTCCACACAGTCAGTCGGAATTCTGTGCCCCTAGTGAGCGGTCCCCCGTGTCTACACACAGTCAGCTTGAGCTCTGTACCCCTACTGTGTAAATTATTCCCTCTATCTACACAGTCATATGGAGCTTTGTGCCCCTACTGAGCAGTCCCCGGTGTCTGCAGTCTGAGCTCTGTGCCCTTACTATGCTGTTCCTCTGTCTGCACACAGTCTGAGCTCTGTGCCCCTACTGTGTGTCTCTGGCAAAGTAATTGGAGGTGGATGCCACTACCTCCTCTGTGAAGCTTATCTAGTCTTTGGCACCCCGCCGGTAGACAGGATCCCTTTTTCCTTCAAGTATTTTGTTTACATTTTTTCTGTCCTTACCTTATTGTAACTTATAGCCTAGGCAGTGGACTTATTCCTTACACTTCTTTCCCAAATAGTGAATTACATGCTACTTCAAACCCAGTTCCTAGCTGATCTTGCTATATCTCCTACAAGAGTTGGCACTTTCTTGTACAAAAGCGCCCAATAAATGTTAAGGTGAATTGTCTCAGCCTCTTACAAACTATAAATAAATCAATCTTTAAAAAATAAACCAAAAACAAAACCCATTGTCGAGTCAATTCTGACTCATAACGACCCTATAGGACAGAGTAGAACTGCCCCATATGCTTTCCAAGGAGCAGCTGGTGGATTCATACTGCCAACCTTTTGGTTAGCAGGCAAGCTCTTAACCACTGAAAGCAGTATTCCTTCAGGTGTCAGAAAAATGGAGCAGCATGGTGAGGGAATCATTAAATATTGTATTATGGGTTGGACCAGCAAAGGTTTACTGAGTGCTTCCACTGTTCGAGGGGCTATGCCCTGCCTGGCCTAGGAGTGTGGGATGCCTCTGTGAGCAAGACAAGCCTGACCCCACCTCTGGGACTTATATATAGGACAGACCTGATAGCCTAGGACAGACCCCAGTTCCCCTTCTTAGGAGCAGTGTAGCATGAGCAGGCTATTTAATCTCATTCAGCCTGTGCTGCTCAAGTATAAAATGGGACTGATCATCCATCCTATGCAGGGTCATTTCTTAGAACATCCAGTGCTGTGCTGGTGTCTCCAGAGGTGCTGCATAGGACAGGGGCCTATGGTGCTCAGTAGGGGTGGCTGGTAATACAACTTTCCGTGAAGATGGTTAGAAAAAGACGAAGCAATGGAGAAACAATTTATTGTATTTAATTTTGTTGTTTGGATTTGCTATTAATTGATTTATTTCCTTGTTTAATGGAAATCCTAGACATCATTGTGTTGATATATACATCATCACTGCAAAGAACTCCATGGCAGACATTAAGTATTAGATGGTAGAACAAAAACAGCAGGAGTTTAGTAGCGCTGTAGAATGAAGTTTAAATTCTGTGTTTTTAAATAGTATAGAATATATACCTATATGAATTTATTCTTGGCTTTTTAATTGTTAAAAATGCCAAAATAAATAGCTTTTTTATTTGCCAAAATAAAGAAACTGGGGAACCAAGTGAATGTAGCTGTCTGCTGATTTCTGTTTGTTTTCTGTATAAAGTTAGTCAAGTTCCTGCAAAGCAGTAATCTGCAACCTACTGCTGAAATCATGGAAAGACTGCTTTCCAGCACTGCCAATTTATACACACACGTGAGTCAGTACACTTTGTACCATCGACATTATTGGTTATTGACAGTAGGTTACAACAGAACTTTCTGCGTATGGAGATCTGTGTAGATGTGAGTTCGGAGAGCACAGGCCCAGCTCCTCAACCCCTCTCAGGAGGCAGAAGCACATCCTTGGCGTGCTCAGAACACGTGGTGTCACCACAGCCCTTTAGCAGCCTGTTTTTCTTTCTTTCTTTCTAACAACTTTATTGAGATATAATTCACATACCAAACAACTCACCCATTTAGAATGTACAATTTAGTAGTTTTAGTATATGTGCAGATGTGTGCAACCATCACCATAGTCAATGTTAGAACATTTTCATCACCTCAAAAAGGAACCCTGTACCCTTTATCTATCACCCCTCACCTTCTTATCCCCCTGCAGCCTTAAGCAGTGACTATTCTCCTTTCTGTCTCTGTAGATTTCCCTATTCTGGACTTTCATATGAATGGAATCATGTAGAATGTGGTCTTTCGTGACTAGCTTTTCTTACTTAGTGTACTGTTTTCAAGGTTCATCCATATCGTGGCATGTATTAGAACTTTATTGCTTTTTATGGTGGAATAATACATATTCCATTTTATGTACATACCACATTTTTTTTCCATTTATCTGTTAATGGACACTTGCATTGTTTCCACCTTTTGTCTATTCTGAATAATGCTGCAGTGAACATTGGTGTACAGGTGTCAGTTTGAGTTCTTGCTTTCAAGTCTTTTGGGTATATACTAGGAGTAGAGTTGCTGGGTCATATGGTAGTTTTATGTTTAACTTTTTGAAGATCTGCCCAACTGTTTTCCTCAGTGTCTGCACCATTTTACATTCCTACTGACAATGGACAAAGCTTCCAGTTTCTCCACATCCTCACCAATACTTGTTATTTTCTGTTTGTTTATTGTTTTGTTTTTTTAATAATAGCCATCCTAGTGGGCATGAAGTGGTGGTATCTCACTGTGGTTTTGATTTACATCTCCCTAATGTCTAATGAAGAGGAGCCCTGGTGGTGCAGTGGTTAAAGCACTCAGCTGCTAAGCAAAAGGTCACCTGTTTGAACTCACCAGCCCTCCATGGGAGAGAGATGTGGCAGTCTTCCATAAAGATTTATAGCCTTAAAACCAAAAAACTGCCTATGGGGCAGTTCTACCCTGTCCTATACTTATGAGTCAGAATCAATTAGACAGCAGCGGGTTTGGTTTGGTTTGAATGTCTAATGAAGGAGCCCTGGTGGCACAGTGGTTAAGTGTTTGGCTGCTAACCAAAAGGTCAGCAGTTCAAACTCACCAGCTGCTCCACAGGAGAAAGATGTGTCAGCTTGCTTCATAAAGATTGTCGTCGTTGTTATTAGGTGCTGTCAAGTCATTTCCAACTTAGAGCGACCCTGTGTACTACAGAACAAAACGCTGCCCGGTCCTGCACCATCCTCATGATTGTTGCTATGTTTGAGCCCATTGTTGTAGCCACTGTGTCAGTCCATCTCATTGAGGGTCTTTCTTTTTTTTTTGCTGACCCTCTACGTTACCAAGCATGATGTCCTTCTTCAGGAACTGGTCCTTCCTGATAACGCATCCAAACTATGTGAAACGAAGTCTAGCCATCCTCACTTCTAAGCAGCATTCTGGCTATACTTCCTTCAAGACGGCCTTGGAAACCCTATGGGGCAGTTTGACTCTGCCCTGTAAGGTCGCTATGAGTCAGAATCAACTTTACGACAACAAGTTTGGTTTTTTTGGTTTTAATGTCTAATGATATTGAGCATCTCTTCATGTGCTTATTGACCATTTGTATATCTTCTTTGGAGAAATGTCTGTTCAAGTCCTTTGCCCATTTTTTAATTGAGTGGTTTGTTTTTTGTTGAGTTGGAGGAGTTCTTTTATGTATTCTGGATATTAAACTCTAACCAGATACATGATTTCCAAATATTTTGTCCCATTCTGTAGGTTATCTTTTTACTTCTTGATAATGTCCTTTGGTGCACAAAAGTTTTTTTACTTTGATGAAGTCCAGTTTATCTGTTTCGTCTTTTGTTGCTCATGCTTTTGGTATTATAGCTAAGAATCCATTGCCAAATACAAGGTCCTGAAGATTTATCATTATGTTTTCTTTCAGGAGTTTTGTGGTTTTAACTCTTATATTTAGGTCCTTGGTCCATTTTGAGTTAATTTTCATATATGGTGTGAGCTAGAGGCCCTACTTTATTCTTCTGCATGTGGAAATCCAGTTGTTTTAACATGTTGTCTTTTTATTAATGAGTTATAACAGTTTTTATGTATTCTAGATACAACTCCCTTTTTACAGTCACTTCGACATATGAATCCTGGTTTCTGGTTCATCACTTTAACCTGAATTTTTGGACTTAGCAGAAGACTGGTCCGTTTGTTTTTCTGCAGCAATTCTAGAAGTGATAATTTTGAAACAATGTCTCCATCTCCAGTTGAGACAACTAGGCATAAATTGTTTCCACAAGGAAGCAAGCTAATGAGAGGCATATAGTGACATAGTCTTGTGATGGCTGGTAGTAATGTGTAAATTCTTTTCTCCAAAGGTGGTTATTTTCTAATCCAGTTCCTTAAAATGTGGTCATGCAGGGCCTCAAAATTCCTTGCTTTCATAAAGGTCTTGTACCCCTGAGATGTCTTCACATTTTTTGTGTGTTTCTTAAGTTCAGAATTTGGTCAAACTGAGTTTATCATTCGCAGCCGCATTCTCTTATATACCAATAAATTTGAAACAGTATTAGGTGAACTATATATATACAATTTCAGTAAGACTGCATGTTCATTCTGTTTTTCTTTTTAAGGAATCTGACGACTATCCTAGTTGTTTGGAACACTGTATGACACTACATCATGAGTGACAGTAAATGTGATAGTCAGTTTTACAGTGTGCAAGTGGCAGACTCAACGTTCACTGTCTTAAAACGCTACCAACAGTTAAAACCAATTGGCTCTGGGGCTCAAGGAATTGTTTGGTAAGTATAGTCTGTTTTAATAGCGTGGATTGAGTTTTTGCTGCAATAAAAAGTAAAACCAAACCATCAGAATTTAAAAACACTGATGATAAAAGTACTCTTTTCTCTGCTATAGGTTTATGAGCTAAATTGAATCAGCCTCTTTCTCTAGTTATATGTAGTCAGATTTTAGGCTACAAACCCAGATTCTTAGAATGCTGCAAAAACTTAAATAGGTAGCTATTTTTCTTTGTTTGTTTCTATTTTTGTTTGTTCCCCCCCCCCTTTTTTTTTTTCATTCCCTTTGTCGTTACGATATCAGAGTATTAGGTATGACAGTGAGTTGTAACAGAAGTTTGGAGTTTTATTCATTTCTTCATCATGGCCACCTTTTCCCCCTCCCCCTTTTATTCCCAATCACTCCTATTCATTTCCAGGCGCCATCCTTGCAGTGCCTTGCCATTCATTGGCGGGATGAGGCCAGTCAGTCTCATTTTCACCCCATGGATTAACCAGGAAGGGATGCTGTGTGAGGGGTTGGGCTGGCCGTCTCTTCCTTGGTGTCTCACTTCAACTATGTGTCCAGCCCAGGACGTCAGAATCGTTAGTCTGACCCTGAACTTAGTCTCTTGCATGGTAAGACAGTCAGCTGCTGCAACATCACTGGCCAGCTAAAGGTAAAGTTTTTCACATGTTTTTAGACTACAGTTATCAACACTTCCCAAACTTTTTATCCCTTATTTTTCTGAGCAAAACTTTTTTGGGGGAGGGATGGGGAGGTCAATAAAACAAGATTATTTTTGCATCTGGATGAAGCTCCTAATCTATCTAATGTTTACAGGTAGCAGGCAGGGAGAATTCAAGATAAAAAGGAACTCTTTTGGATGTTCTGGTAGGGGAGTTTATGTTTTCCTCTAGAGATGCTGAACTTTGAGAATCTTCATCAGTGGTTTATAACTGATTCTCCATTGTAGATAAATGTGATCAGGAAAACCAGTTGTTTTCTTTTGGCCTAGGTGGTTGGCAGCCCTGGTAGCCAAGAGAAGATTGCAGTCCAGAGTTTCTCAGAATAAGTTTTGAGAGAGAAGCAGCTGTTTGAAAGGAACAACCTTCCCAACTGTGTCTAAAATAGTGGTGATCTTAACTTCCAAACGATAACATGTTATAGCAGTACTTAAATCCAGTGTGCCAAGAGAAATTTTAAAGTCAATAAATGGTTCAGAATTGGAAATTTTGAAGTTAATAAAAAGTTCTAGAAAATAAAACATTCTTTTGATTTATAGTCCATTTTTTATTTGAAACTAGATGGTAATTTGACACAAGTATATTGGCAAGACTGATGTCAAGGGCATTTAATATAATAACCACATTCAGAGGCTGACTAGGCAAGCCAGGCCAGTTGCCATCAAATCAATTCTGACCCATAGTGACACTATAGGACAGAATAGAAATGCCCCATAGAGTTTCCAAGGAGCAGCTGGTAGATTCGAACTACCAGCTTTATGGCTAGCAGTCATAACACTTAACAACTGTGCCATCAGGGCTCCAAGAGGCTGACTAGAAGCCAGTGATTAATTGTAAATAGAAAACTTTGTGAAGAGTGGGCATTTGAAATGAACAACTTCATTACAGCATAGTAAATAACAATAAAATCACATGCTACTTTATTTGATTTCCAGCTTGTTTCTGTTACTTTTCATCCTTATTTTTTAAGGAGAAATGTTTAATAATGAAATGATTCATTATGGATGTGTATTTTTCATTTGAAAATTCTAGTTTTAAAATAAAAAAATTTAATATGCCATCATATACCAAACCTCCTCAGATAATAATAATGGTAAAAATTATAAAATAGAAACTTCTGAATTTTTTAAAAAAATTTAAAACTTAAAAACATTTTTTTAAAAAACTAGAAGTTGCCTTAAACTACAAATACTTGTTATTTTTTATGGATATGTGACTCCTGATACTAAAGTCTTATATTTAATGATACTCCCATATTGTCTTACATGTAAAATATGTTTTGATTTTCTTGTAGTAGCTTAAGTTATACAAGACAGAATCTTAACAGTAATTTTACTTAACTCTTAATATTTTCATCATTTAAATGAATTTGTGACAATTTTTATTAATATTTTTAGGAGCAGCTTTCATCTCACATATAGATAGGTAGAAAGAAACAAATATGTTGAGGATAAAATTTTAACAATACCCTATATTTTTCTCCTGCAGATCCTCATTTTTACAGCTTAATTTTTTATTCTAAGGAAAGATACAAAAACTGGGTTTTGTTGTTTTCTGCTCAAGAAAGAAGCTGTTACTTCAAAGCAATAGAGGAATAGGTATTGGAGAGGAAAATCTCTTAATGAGCTCATTGGCAGCTAACAGTTTATGTTTTGATCCTAAAGTCATTAATCATCGATTTTTGTAACCCAAGAAAATAAAAACTGTTTGTTGGGTTAACTTTACTGGATGGATAAAAGGGGCTTAATTAACTTGATTCATATCACTGGTATTTCTTTTTTAAAATGTCCATACAATTATGAAAATGATTCTTAGACTTCTAGGGTGTTTCATCTTTTGGCCTCTAGGCAACGTGCTATCGTAGCAGCTGGGCCTAGATGGTTGAGAAAGGTGGGTTTTCATTATTACTTTGTTGCTGCTTTCTCACAGAGCCTTGTGCTGGTTTCCTTTCAGCCAGTGAGGTGGGAATGCCTGCTCCTTGCCTTCTGTATACATCTCCTGGTGCAGCTGCAACAAGTTTCCGCCAACTTGGTGGCTTAAAAAAACAGAATTTTATTCTCTGACAGTTCTGGAGGCTAGAGTCCAAAATCAGTGTGTGAACAGGGTCATGCTCTCTCTGAAGGTTCTGGAGAAGAATCTGTTCCATGCCTCTCTGCTGGCTTTTGGTAGCTGCCAGCATTCCTTGACTTGTAGCTGCATCACTTCAGTCTCTGCATCTGTCACCACATGGCCTTAATTTCTGTCTCTGTGTCTCCTCCCCTTTCTGTATAAGAATACCATCATATTGAGTGTCCTAATCCAGCATGACCTCTTCTTAACTACTGTTCTAACTACTGTTTCCAAATAAGGTCATATTCTGAGGTTCCAAGTGGACATGAATTTTGAGGGGACATTATTTAACATGGTACACCTTTCTTCTGTGCTTGAGGCTTTGTAGGCCCGTTGAGCTGCAGCAGTGGTCAGCTGGGAGTGGCAGTCCTCAGACTGACAGGAGAGAAATATTTCCCACAACATTTCCCCCCATGTCTTCTAGGGAATTTTCCTGCCTCGATTTTGCAAAGCACCTTCGATATTAACATTGTGCTTAAAACACTTCCAAAGAAAAGTGTTGGCTAGCTAGCTGGTGCAAGGAGAGGATCTTTTCATTTGTCCTGGTTTGGATAGAGCAAGAAGCTGTTAATCATGCAAGTTAGACCCCTCTGTTCCTCGTCGGTGGTGGAAGGAACTGAGGATCCCTACCATCGAACCCTCACTTCCAGATAACCTCTTCTCTCCATTGGTTCCTTCCCTGCAAATGTGCCAGGTTCATTCCCACTTCTGTCACTTTTGTCCCCATGCATCACCTGGTTGTGTTCTCCTGGGTACCCCTTCAAACCCCCTGTCTGTCCAGACACTATCCCTGGTCTTTCAAGACTTCTCTCATCTATGAAACCTCCTCAAATAATCTCAACTCATGCTTTGAATAGAGCCTCCTCTCTGATTGAACCAAATACTTGACTGATACATATATACATACGTAGGTATAGAGAGAGAGCGGGAGAGATCAGAGGTCTTGTGAAAGTTGTTCATGGCTGCAGAGAGGCAGGCATGTTAAGTATGGGCTTCATTTACTCCTATTGGCTTGTCATTCACATGTTTCTGAAGGTAAATGGTAACGTGAATAGTGGATATTATCTAATCGTTATGAGCTCTGCCATAACCTTCACTTTATAAATGGTGAAATTGAAGACAAGGAAGGCTTATCACCTTCCCCCATCTCACAGGGTGTTAGTGGCAAGCCTGGGACCAAAACCCATCTGTTGACCTTTTCGGGCCTTGTTGCTTATACTGTTATTTGGCCTGTTGATGACTTTGAACCACTGATACGTTTTGGTGTGACCAGAACTCTGACCTAAACTCTGTTTGGAATCTGAATAATAATGAATAAGTATTCATTAAATACCTATCTAAAAATTCTCAGAGTCAATTGTATTTATGTCTATAAGATGACTGTTATGTTCAAGAAGAATTCATTTTTATAGCTATAATATTCAGTTTTGTGGTATCCTCCTGTGTTCTAATTGGAAAAGTAAATACTTTATAAGTGACTTTAGCTTCCTTTTTCCCCCATTTTCCTTTGTGTTCATCCTTATCAGGCTGTGAGGCACCAAGTAGGGTTGGGAAATAACCTGGCAATGTCACATTCCTGTTTCTTTAAAAAAAAAAAAAAAAAAAATTGCACTTCCTAAAATAAACTCAGTGGGTAAGCTCCTACTTTGACAACAGGAATTGGATTTTCTTTTATTGTATTCCTTATAAATATATATTGCCATTATACAGTTAATTGATTTGATAATCTGAAGGCTCATTTTGTGGTATTATACTTAAAAAAAAAAAATTGGAGCCCTGGTGGTGCAGTAGTTACGATCTCGACTGCTAACCAAAAGGTCAGCAGTTCGAATCCCCCAGCAGCTCCTTGGTAACCCTATGCAGCAGTTCTCTGTCCTGTAGGGTCACTATGAGTGAGAATCAAATCGACAGCAACAGGTTTGTTTTTGGTATACTTTAAAATTATCCATCAGTGACCATCTGGGGATGTGGGATGCTAAATAATGGCCCCCCCAAAGATATCCATGCCCTAGTCCCTAGAACCTGTGAATATGTTAGCTTACATGGAAAAAGGGACTGTGCAGATTTGATTAAATTAAAGATCTTGAGATGGGGAGATTAGCCTGGATTATCCAGGTGGACCCACTGTAATCATGAGGGTCCTTAAAAAAAGAAGGCAGGAGGATCAG